TCTTCTTTTTTTTACTTTTCATATGATACAGTAGTCACACAATGAATATAATAAGGCAGTGCATATTTGTCTCAGTGAGTCATTAATTTTTGACAGACAGCTAAGATTTTCTGTTATCTTGCATGATTTATGAATCTATTCATGTCTAAATGCTGCACTTTGTTTCTGAGATGCGGCATTTGTTTTTATACTAAAATATCTGAATTACTTTGAATAAAGCTGGAAATTATGTCCCTTAAAAAAATTAAACAAATAAGGCACCAATGTTTTTGTAAGATATTTACACCTTTTAAAGACATTCGGTAGACTGATTCCCTACTGTTGTTTCAACCCCAAAACTTGTTTGTATTCAAAATTAATTATGACAATACATACTCATATTGAAACAAACTATAAAAGGGAATAATATTATATAACAAAGGGCAAGGTCACCAGAGTTCAACTATGTTTATTCTTATAATTTCTTTGTTAATTTCTGACCATATACTCGTAATTTTCTTTTGGCTACATGTGCTGACCTCTAAATTAAAACAGAAATTGTGCAGGACTATTTGTGACAAAAGCAGACTTCAGCACTGAAATAATTAATAAAGAACAGCAAGAAAGAAATGCAACATAGATAGAGGATTACAACAAGGTTGTGCATGCTCTCCAATATTGACGTTTCTGTATTTTTTAGGGCAGTAAGAAGCAACTGGAAGAAGTGTGGGAGGAAACGGATCATCTTGACAAAGATGATTTTGATCCTAGGACATTTTTTATGTTGCATGATAAGAACGGTGATGGTAAATTGGATCCAATGGAGCTGGAAGCACTCTTTGTGAATGAAGTAAGTGTTACATTTGTAGATACACTAAGGGTTTGTTTGTTCTTATTAGTGTTTTTAGACTAGTATGCAACACGTTCAAATATGTAAATATGAATGCATGCAAATGTTAATGTCTTCAAAAATCATTGTGAAATCTGTATGTATGGTGAAAATAGGTACTGTTTTATTCACCTATGAAATTCAAACTAAACTTGTATTCAGATTGAAAAAATCTATGGTGATGATTCTGACCCAAGGGAGAAGATGGAAGAAATGTCCAGAATGCGAGAGCATGTCATGAAGGAGGTAAGACTGGGTTTTCACTAATACGTCGCTTGCTGAATGCCATTACCGATAGTTAAAAAGAATGGGAAAGAACAGTGTATTAAAAAGTGAATGTTGATTGTTGTGCAAGGCATACTAAAGTTTTGCATAAACAATGTTTTTTTTACATGTGTTGAACATGTCAAAACAACGTCAACGGCAACAACAACGACCACCACCACCCTTTATTTTTTTGATTTAGGTGAATATATTTCATTAGTGTTCATACAAAATGATGTCACTAAGCTTTATGCCATATTTGTGAGGATGCTCGATTCGGATAAATAAATGAGTTAACAAAAACTAAAATAGCGACAGACATATATATACCACGTATTTATATCTGTTGTGGATTGAACTAATTTCCCAAGGACATTGTTCAGGCAGTCTTCTTTTGGATTCACAACAAATCACAGCAAAGTAACACATGTAGGTTAAAATTGTCTTGTCTGTACACGTCCTTATTTGATCGTTTTTGCACGGTGTACAGTGTTATATAATTACATCACTTCTATATTTAGTCAGTTTTTTTCATTTGACAAACACCGTAGGACATCAATTGAGTGTAATAAAGTTAAACTTCATGTTTAACAAGACATTTTGTCTTTTGTGCATCTTCAAAAAAAAATTTTTGAGTGTTTTTATTAATTTTCACCAAAAGTGCCGAAATAAACTTTTGTCATCTTTCACAAAATAAATCCCACATTTTTTTTATACTTTCCCCGAATTGTTGATCAAAATCTGTAGCCAATAGGAAATTGAGTCCTTTTAAGTTCAAAATTATCAAAGAAATTATAGAAAAAACATAACAAGCAAAATGTTGCACCAGTATTTTGGTGGAAAATATTTATATGTATTTCAAAAGTGTTACCCCGGTAACTACATGTTGCAGTATAAACACTGTAATTATTGTGTACTCATCAAAAGATGCGAGAAATCTCATACTGGCCATCTATTTCTTTCTGGACATGTGGAATCACATCACTTGTAAATGGGAAACTCATAAAAAAATAGTTAAATAAGAATAATTGTTCAATCATCTGAATTTTGGACATATTAGTCCAAATTAGATTATTAATAAATAATCTTTATTCTGACTGTTTTATGAATTCGCTGTCTTCACAGATTGATACTGATAAAGATTTTATGGTTAGCATGCGAGAATTTATGGACGCAACCCGAGATAAAGATTTTGACAACGAGGAAAGCTGGGAAGATTTAGGAGATAAAGATCTTTTTACCGAAGAAGAGTTAGCAGACTTCCAAAGACAGCTACAAGAAATGGAAGCCAGAAGAATGAGAAACAATGTGAAGAAACAACAACAACAACAACTTGGAGGTGAAGATGACAAGTTGAAGTTCCAGGCAGAGGCAGTTGCCCAAGTGGCAGCACAGCAAGCAGCTCAACAAAAGTCTGCTCAAGAGCTTGCACAGCAACAGAAGGACGCCCAGCTAAGAAATGCCCAAGAGGCTGCCAGGCAGAATCAACAGGCAGCTCAACAACAAACTGAACAAAAAGAACAGATGAAACAACAATTTGACGAAGCACACGCAGCTATACAACAACAGCATCACCAGCAACAGCAACAGCAACAGCAGCATCACCAGCAACAGCAACAATTTGATGAAGCTCACAAAGCTATAAAACAACAACATCACCAAAATGATGCAAATGTAGTTGTGATGGAAGGTGGGCAACCTCTACAAGCTCAGGCAGCTCAGGCAGCACAGGTTAATGAAAACAAACCACAACAGTAACAACAATAATCACCATCTCTCTTTGGCTTATGATACAATAATAAGGAATTACATGTTATTACACAGTATTGTAATTTGTTCTCTACACGTCATCTCCTTTTTTAAATATGTTTGTATATGTGTACGGATAAAAAAGCTTGCCCAAAGTTTCTATAAACTATCAATGTGCCTGATCATTTGTTTGATTAATTGCCATAATGATACTTACGTAGTTATGATATAAATATTCAGAAATCATTTATAACCGTATAGGTTGGTAATTGTCATGCGATTGAAAGTGGTGATCAGCTTGTGCAAAGATTGAAAAAATCAATTTTACTTGAGTTGAATGTATCACATTGGACTGATTTCCGATCACCCATTAACAAAAACAGTAAAAAAAAAGAACATTTGAGCTTCAATATAGAATATGTAGAGAAAAATATAGCTTGGAGTCTTTTGATATTTGTGGTGTATTTATTTTTTAAAAAGGTATATGTTTACAATATGTTTCATGATTCTTTATACCAGGAAATATTTTGCCAATATTTTTACCATTGATATCATAATATCGATGTATTCTTATTTTGACATTATTTTTTTAAATGTAACTTGTCATTTTTGGAGTACCAAAATGAGTCTTGGCAACACAAGTTTGTGGCTGCCTGTATTTTGGTATCTGTGCTTTAAAATTTTGTCTACTACAGGCCTAGGGAGTTCGGGGCGGGCGGTCAAACGGGTGGATGGACGGACGGACTGACAGTTGGGCAGGCTTTCAAGGGAGGCAGGGATATTTTCTTTGAAATGAAATTTGCTTATTTGTATAAAATATTTTTTGTATGTGTTGCCCTGGCATTCTTCTTCTTCATTATGGTACAGTCATGATGGTAATGGTAATCGGTACTTGTCAACCACAGACTTCTGCTGTGGTATCAATAATTATGTGGAAATTTCACTACCTGCTCACTGTACCTTTCTTAGTTTCAAAATTAATCACCGTGAGCTTTATAGTTATTTTACTTTGTCTTGTGTACATCGCTTAGTTGTCCCAGCTATATGATTTAAGCATTCATGTCTATGAAATGGAATAATAATTCTGTTTCTATAATTTATTATTTTGTTTTCCAAACCAACATATGGCCTGTGATGTTTTGAAAGTCCAAGAGAGACCATTACATGGAATTGTTAAAATAACAAACATAATGCATACAAATTTTACACTAAACCTCCATAAAGTATTGTATCTGATTGATGTCATTCTTTTTTTCTGTCACTGTGTAATCACTTTTTACTGACACATGAAAACATTAAAGTTATTATTTTGTTATTGTGTACTTAAGTCAACATACAATACCATTTATTAACTTTTTGACTAAAGATTTTTGGAAACTAACAAACCAATATGTATCTGTAATGCAACAATAGTGCTGTTCCCTCCTAATACTAATACTTAATACTAATTTGTTTGGTTTGTCTCTATTGTTCGAACAGTCAACTAATCTACAAAAGCAAAATTTTCATAGAGTATATTTTTTTAATTATTTAAAAATTTCTTGAGCTGGTGACGAATACTCAGGTGCGATTTCTATTCATTGGCTTATTCTATGCTAATTAGTTGTGTATGTTATGACAACACACAACCCATCATGTGGTTGCAGAAAACCATCATGGTAAACTTCTGAAACCCATAGGAAAGTTTACTAGAACTTAGTCCCTGAACAGGCCTTCAACTACCATTAGCATCCTCGTAGGCATCCTTCAACTGCCGGTTAATAACACGAGTAGCCATGGTGTCTTGTACATGTACCAGCACCAGCATTTATGCTTGTAAATCTTTTGAGATTTTGTTTTTAAAAGGATTCAGCCAGTGTGGTTGGGTGTTAACATGAAATACTGTGATTACCCGTTGTGATGCACTTCTTGTTGGGCGGCAACAGAATGTAATAACTACAGAAAATATACATTGATATACTAGGTCTAGGTCCCAAAAAACAATACATATATGTATTCGTCATTTATGGCATTACTGATATGCACATGGTAAAAAGCAGGGCATTTGTTTTATAACATTATACAGTAATATATTATTTTCACCTCGCCCATACCTCAATACATTGGCTGGAAGTGTACTGTATGCAAATTTGTTTCATACTTCTTAAATGCCCATGTTATAAGTATACGCAATATATACTTGATTTTATCTAGCAATTTCTCAGCCCCTTGGCAGTGAACATCCTCTCCTGTTGTGCATCGGTGAGAGTTGCATCTTTTGGATATCAAAAAGAAAATCCCATTGTAGGTAAATCTAAAAGACTCTGGCCCTCACTGAACACCACAGAAGGCAGTACATGTGTACACACACCCCATACAAATCGTTTTGTGCACCAATTCCATTAATAGTACAAATATTTAGGAAGCTCTCCCATCATTGAATACCATGATGACTTTGATAGCCTTTTTTTGGCCAAGCCAAGTTGGATGTCACTGCTAGTAAACCACCCAAAGGTGCTGCAGTCCATTTGAACATGGTAAATATCTGGTCTGCCACAACATTTTTATCTTCCCACATACAGAATATACTCAAGCTCCTTTCTAGTGGAGCCACAAAGAGCAGAGGTTGATTATACCAGAACCACTAGGGACTCTACCCTGTTTATTGTATGCAGAACCAATCAGATCTTTTTTATCCTATGTCTTAGCTGCTAGAAGTCCTCTACAATGTGCCAAGTATGGAAGAAAGGTGTCTTCAACAGTGACAAACATCAAATACAATTACAAATCTATTGAAAGTCAGTTTTGGTCAAAGCATTTCTGATAATTCATTAGTGAAATTCATCAAAGGGTAGGGGTAGGCATAATGCCAGGGCGTAGTCAGATGTAGCATCACTCAAATAAGACGTCACACATGACCTATGGTGATCTCGTTCAGATATTGCATATCGATTGCACATGTGTCCATGTAAATGCCATGAATGTTGTGTTACATATATATTGACCAACACAGGTTATGATGAATAGAAGTTGTGCCAACTCAGTGAAGTACAGACTTCACTACGACTGGTATGGCCACTGGGCCAACTCAAGGAAGAGTTAATTGACATGTAGTCCAGACAAATTTTAAGCTAATTTTAATTTAGTGATAGTAGTACTTCTTTCAATTTGGCACAGTTCCAGAGTTGGCTCTTAGAGTGTGTTTGAAGCCTTGAACAGTTTTCACAGGTCCACATTCGTTATCATTTAACTCGGTGTTCAGCATTCACAAGTAAGCCTCCTGCTGCAAACCAACATTACCAACACAAGGTTAAAAGCAGAATCATTTATCTTATTTACATCTATCTCACTTACCTATACCTCCACCACACATAGCAGTGAATGAACACCTGTAACTTTGTGTGTACCAGTAGAGAAGTTCATATTTGCATTATCGGTGGAGTGATAACACATACTATTCTCCTCTCAAACCTCTTGATAAAGATTCTAGCAAATTCTAGCAAGATCACAACTTTGTTTTATCTGTGCATCAAACCAAACAATATCTTAGTGACTTTGGATTTGAAGGATTGCTTACTGTGATGACCTGGAGTTAGCAGTCAATGAGCTGGAGAAACCTCAACATCTGTTAACACTTTGCTCCAATTGATAGTAGCAACAGTATAAAAAGTGACTGGCGAGCAACACATCCATGACACTGATAGCTCTATCTTGGCTTACTGCTTCTCTCTCCCGCACTAAGGGTCAGTAAAAGTAAAAATATTTCTGAGAAAGATTCAGTAAGGGTTTTCATAAGAAGTCTTATATGATCATGTGTCATTGCGAACCTGAGATTCATCTTTTCTACTTGGTCTCAACAGCTGGTTATTCAATCAATTAAGTGTTCATCTAACAATTTAACCAAAGTAAGTGACACATCTTGCCTAATGGTATTGGGTACAAGATTAATTGAGTTTAATATTGTCCATGGGTGACAAGTTGACTGGGTTTCAGACTGATCATAAACTGCAATCATTCTATTACCAGGACATTCAAATCACGAAGAGCAATGCATGCTTTTGCAAATTTGTGCAACAGATGGTGTTACATTTGCCTAGTAAAAATCCTACTTCTGGTGTTTTATTGAGTCAATTCAAACAGGTCATACTTGACATGTATTTAGCAACGATTTACAGGCACATCAATGTTTTGTTGCTTATTACCATATTACAATGCTAAATCAACAGCAGGAAGTTTCCGGGAATGTGACTCGTTTGCACTAATGAAACACTTTGGGGACAATGATACCATTGTTCACTTGCGTTATGTGATGGAATATAATAACACTGATGCTCCGTTCGATAATAATTCATTAGTGCAATCATTTTAGCAATAAACTGCACCGTTTGGGTCTGTCTTGCTATTACATTTTACAAAATCTTGAGCGCGCTTTAAATATAACCCTATCCGCTTAGGAGGTGGTGATGTCAGACTTTCTTGTTGCAGCATACATACCAATTGCTCGTCAGACCTTGGGACCAAGTTGTATTAACTCAATTAGAGGTGTCAGTACACACAGAAACATAGTGCTCAGTCACATTAATTGGTTCCACACCACTTCAAAAACAACTTTTGACGTAGTCTGTAACCAGATCGCACCGCGAGGGTGGCTTTATAAATGCCTCATTAGTTTCCATACAAGCCATATATTTATTTGAATGCTTCATTCTTCATTCTGCCATTATTACTTGTGTCGTTATTTCTCGTGCCAATAATATCCCAACGTGTGGATTCAACACTTGTGCTTTATGAGATTAGTTAGCTAAATATTGATTAGGTGGTAGGGTATTTTTGTAATTATCTTGTTTAAGTTATGGTAGTTTAACAGAATTCAATGTTAACGTGATTACATTTTTTCTTCTTCTTTTTATATGTATAACATTTCATAGTTGAAACTACTAGAATTAATTCGCAGTCGATAAACATTTCTACTAGTGCTCCAAGAACGATAATCAAACGTCTATAGCCAACATGCCAAAAACAACTGACAAGCAAACTACACCCAGTAGGGAAAATGTGTATGACCTCGATTAGAACTGATACACACAGAAAGTGGCGTCATGAAGTAACAATTTATGAAAAAAAGCATGTGATAAGGTGTCAAAAATGTGTAAATGTTGGCTAACCGGCAAATAATGTGGTGAGTATTATCGGTGTTACTGAACAACAATTACAGGGGAAACAATTCGTGAGAGGTTTTTCAAAATACGTTTGCATATTGACGATTCATTCTGACTTAAACATCATTTTCATTTTATCAACTTTTGATTACAGACTTATACATACGTCGATCGGTGGTTGATGTATGTATCAATTTCATGAATGCAAGCACACACACACACACAGATCTACCTTATTGTGTTTAAATTCTCATTTTTGCGAATCAACCTATTAGGACCACAAACATGGCTAAATGCAGTATCATTCACAAATATATGTAATCCATCGCAAAATTTGCATACGTTCTATATTTAAACATAATGCCTGGTTGTAGGAATACGTACTGAATACAACGCAATTCACATCACAATAAAACGTCCGCTGCATGGTGAAACAAGGAAATATACTCATTGGGAAACATAGTCGTTGGAGGAATATTAATTTGCATCGTTTGATAAATTATACTCGATCATAAAAGTCCGAACATGTTCATGTTGAAGCAGTGTTTACCATGGCTAATACTGGCAGCCGCCATCACTGTACTCTATTCAGCCCCGGTGAACGTTAACGAAAATGAAGTCGACGATAAAGATTTCGAAGTAAGAAAAATATTAAATTTATTTAATTATGGCATTTCCAAATGAATTGCTTTATCTATTTTTCACAACTGATGCAATTGTTATTTGAAACTGGCGAATTCGATCGGGAATTATGTATTCAAACTGTGACATATTTTATAACCGAACTAAATTGCATGAGGATTTCTCTGTAACAACATATGCATTTTGGTGAAAATAACAAATGATTTATATCGTGTAATTCTGGTATCATTTTTTGTGAAAATTAAACAATGGCTGCCATGTTTTTTTTTCTATCAGCGGTATACTTAAAAGGCTAACCCGCAATATGTACAATAATAGGAACCTGTATGTAAAAATAAAATCAGTGTATAATAATAACTATGAAACGCAAGTTAATATTGATTTATATTTAACATTTTTCCAGGATAGCTTTCTGCTATTGGACTATCGGAGTTATTTCCGACAGGTCGGAGAAATTCTTACAGACGATCCAGTTATTCTTGATGAATTGAAAAAACTTAGTGACCACGACATAGAGGTAGGATGGGTTCATCATTATCATTATTATTGTTATATATGGTATATAAACTGTATTACTTACATACATGACAGAGAATAGTGTAGCAACAACACGAATACGCACGTTGATACGAGTACAAACCGTCGCCTCCATATGCAATTATTTTTGCGTTATATTACATATTACAGTGTTATTAAAGAAGACAAAATATATGTTATGTTAAAGCACGATTTATTTTTACAGAGTGGAAATGTGAGCCATGTCTTACAATTCGCCCACAAAACCATTCGTGATAAACTGGACGAATTGAAAAGCGAAGAAATTAACCGTCTCAGATCAGGAATAAGTAAAAGCTTTAAAGCAGCTCGGGGTATGTAATGTTTTACGGCAGAATACACCTACGTTTTGATATATTTAGCCATTATAAATCTTGGATCAAATTTGTGTTGAATGGTACACTGCTGCGGCCATTGTTTACGGTCGTGCATCACATTATACATAGAATATTACTGTTATTTAATTATTATATTATGGTTGAACGATACACTGTTTTAATTTATGCAAGCCATGGTCCAATCAGGGGGGGTGGGTGTTGGGGGGGGGGGGTTCAGCAAAATTTGCCCCCGCGAAATGCAGGAAATTTCAAAATTTTGTCAAAAATGCAAAATTTCGTGTCGCCTTCTTTGCCAATAGAGCATAATGTTTGGTTAAGTTAATTATTAATTCTTAAGTTAATTTATGTTGGGAAAATGATGAAGATTATGATATTTAATTGCAGTTTATAAAAAGGAAAGCCATTTTACCGAAACGAAACCAATATAATAGTCAATAATGTAATAGCATCACTACCGTTATTAAATTCGCCGAGTCTGTGTGATGAAGGGCTGTTCGACAACTGATAATTTTCAAAAAATAGGTTTATCAATATTGCAGAGAAATGTAATTTGAAAACGAACTTAAAATGATAGTTCAAGGGCCATTATAATTTACCCCGGACGCATTCAGAACGCGCCGTTGCAATTTAATTTTGATTGTGTTATTGCTGTTGTTATTGTTCATCGCTAAAACACAGAAAAGTAATACTGATATATGATAGCAGTAACTCATGTGTAAGTCAGGTATACCGCTTGATATTACACAATACACTAAAAGATGTACCTGCCTGCGTCTCGTGTGTAAATGTCGTGAATT